AAAGAAAGAAAGAAAGAAAGAAAGAAAGAAAGAAAGAAAGAAAGAAAAAGACAGACAGACAGGAAGGTCGGCAGTTCAGCGGTTCGAATCCCTAGAGCCGCATAATGGAGTGAGCTCCTGTTACTTGTCCCAGCTTCTGCCAATCTAGCAGTTCGAAGGCATGTAAAAATGCAAGTAGAAAAATAGGGACCCCTTTGGTGGGAAGGGAACAGCGTTCTGTGCGCTTTCGGCATTTAGTCATACCGTCTGAATTTTGCAAGCCCAGATTTGACAAGATTGCGGGGGTTGATGGAGTTACTGGGATTTGCGGATCTGTTTAAAAGAAGATGGAGGGGGGAGGACAAATTTAGGATTGCTTCCCAGTCCAGGGACAGCTGTTTTCTGCCTTTAAAAATCTGCTCTACTGGGAGACAAATACAGAAGAAGCAGTGGGGAAAACATCAGCAAAGACAACGTCACCCAGAGTGTCTCCAGCTGTTGTTGCGTGTCAGTTATTAATAATATTTCACAATAAAGTCCACGGATGGAGACATCTGAAGATACCAAGGAGATGATTTTTGCATGACTTAATTCTGAATTGCAGACAGTCCTTTGCACGTGAAATCAATTTGTCAGCCAGACTTTAAAAAGGTTGTTGCTCATTTTTCTAAACTTAAAATTCCAATTGCTCACTTTTCTAAACTTAAAATTCCAATTGCTCATTTTTCTAAACTTAACTTCATTGACCAGATTGAGGGCCTTTGAGTTCATGTTTCTCTTAATTCATTATTGTGCACCCTTCCCTAGCATAGCTTTATAGATTGTCTTGTAATATAATACCCTGTTTCCCCAAAAATATGACCTAGCCTGAAAGTAAGTCCTACCTTGATTTTTACATGTGTGCCCGATATAAGCCCTACTCCCAAAATAAGCCCTAATGAAGATCCCTCTCACTCCAGAGTGCATGAGTAAAAATTAAGCCAAGGTGGGAATGGGGTGTGTGGGGAGCTGCCCTACTACTTATCTTTGGACAGTTGTAACCAGACCTTGCACACCCTTAACACCTGCCTTGCCAGCCCATTTCTTCTAAAGCCGGCAAGGCTGGCAAGGCTTTCCTGAAGGCCTCTAGCTGATAACAAAGCTCTGGATTGATCCAGAGCTCTGTTATCGGCTGCAGAGGCCTTCAGGAAAGCCTTGCCAGCTGCAGAAGAAGAAGTTTCTGAAGGTCTCTGACAGCAAAAAGGAGGCCGGGGGCGATGTACGTAAATGAGATTAGTCAGTGGATGACATCCCCCGAAAATAAGACCTGGTGCCTTTTTTGGTGGGGGAAAAATAAGATAGGGTCTAATTTTGGGGGAAACACGGAACGTTTACGTCTGCTTTCACCAATGTATGCATTTTCCTGCATGTGTTTGCAGCTTGCAAGCTGTCCTACAGTGTTCTGCGGTGGGGGGGGGGGGATGCATTTTTCCCCCTGTCCACGTGCTTTAGGGATGCAACTAGAGTACATACATATAACAATATGAAAAAGTGAATTTTGCCCAGTGTTTAGGGGTAATCGATGAAAACCAACTCTTTTGAAGGGCTTCTTAATTGTCCTTTTTAAATAAGTAAATAAATAAATTTCCTTTCCTTGAAAGAGAGAAGAAAACACCAGAAACCCTAGAAAATATCAAACGCCGATGTTCCAAACTGATTAATTCGTGTAAGTACTGCTTCTCTTGGTAAGTTTTGTGGCTTCCCCAACACCTCCCTTAAAAGGGGTTAAACATGTTCCTTTGCTCGGACTTGATACAAGTAGTCCTTGACTTAAGAAAGTTGGTTTAGTGACCGTTTGAAGTTACTATGGCACCAGAGGTGGTATGCAGCAGGTTCTGACCAGTTCTGGAGATCTGGTAGTGGAAATTTTGAGTAGTTTGGAGAACCAGAAAATACTACCTCTGACTGGGCCCAACCCATCTATTCTCTGCCTGCTGAGTCCCAGCTGATCAGCTGGGTCTTCTTTGGTTCCTCTGCACAGGAGAACAGAGCTGGAAAGCAGGTTAGTGGGATGGGGAGGGAATGGGGATTTTGCAGTATCCTTCCCCTGCCATGCCCACCAAGCCACACCACACCCACCAAGACATGGAATGGAATAGAACAGAAAGGAATAGGATAGGATAGGATATATGGAGCGGAATGGAATGGAATAGACTAGAAAATATGGAGTGGTGGAGTGGAGAATGGAGTGGGATGGAATGGAATGGAATGGAAGAGAAGGGAAGAAAACAGAAGAATAGAATAGAATAGAATAGAATAGAATAGAATAGAATAGAATAGAATAGAATAGAATAGAATA